GGTTTTAAAAAACAAATGATATTTTGTGAAAAGACATAAAGCATTATTTAAATTAGTGCTATCTACAGTACAGTTCTTTTTTGATTTTTTTCTATCAGCATTAATACAAAGTATAGGGACTGGCACTTGATACTGATCTGAGTATGTAGCATATATATTGGTTATAACTGAGTTAATTCTGGAGTAACTTTAGATTTACATAGAATTTGCAAAGATTACTACAGAGAGTTATTATATAGTGTCTCCTAACAATAACATGTTATGTAACTTTGGTAAGTTTTTCAAAAGAAGGAACATTGATACGGTGATATTAACTATTGATAGACTTTATTTACATTTCATATTTTTTTAACCACCTGTGTCCTTTTTTCTGTATCAACTTCTAAAAAACAGAGTAAAAATGTTTATTTGAGAAAAAGCATTACAATGTACAATACTCTTTTACTCTATGGTCATATTCAGGGAGGCAAGGGAAGAAAAAGATTTTTGAAAGAAAAATGAGAAGGGATTACATAAGCTCTTTGGGACTATTATCCTTGGCTACCAGGATCAATAACAAGAGTGGCACCAGTGCAAAATTGTACATTTCTGGATAGATGTCTTCACAGAAGTATTCCTTGTGTAAGGATGCAGTGGTCTTTGTACAAGGTGGTGATTTTGGCAGCGTCTTTGTGGCAATTCTTGTTATCAGGCATCCTTTCATGAGACCTGCCCTCTGTATGGCCTGCCCCTGCCCCATTTAGTCAGGATTTAACACAAGTTTACGTAAATGACTCTAGTTTGATTCTAGAACTTTCACACCTGTTTCAGGATCCAATTGAGGATAATACTTTACATCTAGTCAGCATGTCTCTTTGTCTCCTGTGATCTGTGACTGTTTATCTTTCATTGTTTTTCATTACTTTGATAGTTTTGAGGCATATTGGTGAAATATTTTAGATAGTCCCTGAATTTGGGTCTACTTAATACTTTTTCCAAATGAGATGAGGGTTACGAGTGTGGGGTGGAATACCACAGAGGTAAAGTAAACTTCTTATCTCATATCAGGGAGTATATGATATTATGATCATTTATCACTGGCGATGTTACCCTTGATCATTTGGTTGAGGTGGTGTCTGCCAGGTGTCAGATGTCTCCACTTTAAAGTTGCTGGTTTTCGCATTTCATACTCTTCTTTGGAAGTGAGTCACAAAGTATTGCCTACACTCAAGGACAGTGCAATTGAGCTATATTCCTAGAGGGGGATATAACTACATAAGTTATTTGGAATTCTTTTTTTTTTTTTTTAATTTCCAGAGATTGCATGCATGAGAGAGAGGGGGAGAGAAAGCACACCCCTATAGGTATAACCATGCTACAGTCTCTTCTCCATTTCTCTGTCCTGTTGCGATTTTAGGCATGCACACATGCTCGGTATGTTTTCAAGCTGCTGGGTCTGGGATTCGATCCACGTTCAGCCATGTGGAATCTGACTTCCTTAACCACAAGGCTACCGGTCTGGCTTTTTGGAATTCTTTTGTATGGAATATTTGTCTTTCTGTACCATTTATTTACTTAAATAATTGTTTTTAATCATTATCATCTGATGGTTATTTTTAAGTTTAGGTTACAACCTAATGCTATTGTTCTTTATTTTGTTGCTCACATTGTTTTAACTTTGTCCATTGCAACCTTGTTCAGTTTGACTTCTCATCACATGCTTCTTTTTTTCTTTTATGAGCACTTCCTTACTTTCTGGCACTGCAAGACGCTTCAGACTCATGTTGTATCCTTCCTGCTACAATTCTAGATAGCCATCCATTTCTCCAAGGAGCCTCAGTTCTTTTTACTCAAGATTGATGTTTAGAAATCAAGGTCTGGGTGCTGGATGAGCTCATTGCTAGTGTTTCTAAGACTTTACAGTGAACACAGTGAGTGTATATATTTCTGTAAAATAACTCACAATTTATAATGCATGCATATCTATATTTATCTTTTTATACATGATATTAAAATACACGAGCTAACACTGATATATCTGACTCTAATCCAGTACCACAGAATTTATTTTAGCCTTCTTGCTTTGCTTATTTGTAACTGCTTTCCCCAATGGTGAGAAACCTGCATCTCAGTATCTATAGTTTATTTACTTACTCATTCAATTCTAATAAGCACATAAAGTAGTTTTAGAATTGCCAATAAATATTGCTGTGAGGAAGCATTTACCAACTTGAGTAGTGTTTGTCACTTCTTTTTGACTTTAGTCTTATAGTAACCAGTTGAGACATGATTTCCCAAAGTTTCTTAGGTTAACCTCATTTTTTTTCCTCCTTTAGTGAGGTATGTCATATACTTAAAATATAGTTAGGTTAATATGTTACAGTCCGCATTCTATCCTGAGGATTAACATCCTGATTGATTTTTCATCATTATTTTTATTTATAGTTAAGTTTACTCTTTGTTGTTGTTTGGTTTTTAGGTTTTTGTCATAGGGCACGTGCGCTCACCAGAGAAAAACAAAGAGACAGAGAGAGGGAAAGTGAGAAATCATCCCCCAGAGGGGATGGCTACACCACAATCTCTTCTTTTCCATTCTTTCGGTATTTGAGGCACCTATGCACACGTGCCTGATGTGATTTTCAAGCCGCCAGGTTCAGGACTCTAACCATAGTCAGCTGTGTGGGAGTCCAGTTTCTTAATCACCATGCCACCTGCTGGCCCCTAAGTTTACTCTTTGTAATGTACAGTTCTTTGAGTTTTGATAAATGCATATGGTTATCAATCCACTACCTCAAGGACAGTTCCTTTACCTTAAAAATTCTCTCGTGTGGCTCTGTTTCTGGCCTTTCCATAATGTCATATATTGTTGGAAAAATCATGATGCATTTTTGCATAGAAAAATAGAAAAAATACATTATGACTTTTTCAGTGACTCAATAAATAGGCTCATGTAATATGTAGATTTTTACATTTAGCTTCTTCCACTAAGCAAAAGACATTCTAGGTTTATACATGTTGTCTCATGTGTCAGTGATTCATTCCTTTTCATTGTTGAGCAGTATTGCCTTGTTTAGATATACCATAGGTTGTTACTCGTTCACTTGTTGAAAGATATCTTGGTGCAATTTTCAGTTTTTGTGATTATGAGTAAACCCAGTAAAAATATTTTCTTAACAGGTTTCAGTGTGAGCGTCAGTTTTCATTTCATAAATACTTAGAAGTGGGATTGGTAGATGTGTTTAACTTTTAAACATACTGCTAAACTGTGTTCCAAAGTAGCAGCACTATTTCTTTTTCTTTCTTTCTTTCTTTCTTTCTTTCTTTTTTTTTTTTTTTTTT